ATTTTGCTTGCTGGTTCAATACGACATTCAACGTTAGCAACCGATCAAGCATGTTCCAAATTAAACAAGTGCTTAAAGCTACGCAGTGCCTCGACTCGGTTTATTAGACTACTCGCTTGAGCCCCACTTTTCTTCTCGCGATCTTTGCCAACTGATTTCTAAGTCCAGATAAATTTAATGGAAATTCTTAACACTTACCAAGTGGGCTTGGCGCTGGTCAGTTTCAATCCCATGGTACCCAAGGTATATGGGTCTTTGTGTGAACTGTCGCTTTCAGGTCAAAACCCAATATTTGGGCTAATGTGCTCGAAATCTGCTTTGTTGTTAATCCTTTCTTTGACTACTCATATAAAATGTGTCAAAGTTTCGCTTACACTCCTAATCTTGCTTTTTGAAAAGAGATCTTGGTAACGGAGGGAGCATTCGGTAGGTGGACCATTTTACCAACTAGTTGCTAAGTCCGTGTGTCATTATCACATGGAAGATTCCACTTGAGGCCATCTAACGAGTAATCCGCGACTCTAAGTAGGGCTACCCACCATCACTTTGTTGAAAGGAGGAAGTGCTAAAGGAAAAAACCTGCCAAACTGCATCAATGTCGGTGGGGGCCATTACGGTCAACGTACGTCAGGAGGGAGGGCGGTTCAGATACCGTCCACCGAAATCGTTCGGAAAAGCGGATGATGCATGGATGCACAACAGCACGGAGCCTCAAAGTAGCGGGACCAAACATCATACAAAACAATACGCAAGCTTACATCAGTAATAATTGGGAAGACTAAACGGGCACAAATTACCTATACCTGATTAATGTGCTTTTCCTCATCCTAGATTACCACTGAAGCTGAACCCTTAGGCGACTAATTGAACAGCACTTTTTCTACAATTTAACCACTGTGTTGGTAATGCGCGAATCAACAAAACATGTAACGCGATTGTATTTGTTTTCAAGTGGGTCGTATCCATCTTTGGAAATTTTAACCGTCCGCCACCTCAACACATTTGTACTTGTAGGACTTTACTATGATGCGCGTACGGTACTTGCTGTGTGCGTGAAGGTTCTTATTCTCAATTATCTACCCAATATTAAGGGAAAACTTGAGTGGTCTGAACTACCTGACTGGTTCGTTGGTAGATAAGACTTTCCATGTTTGAAGACACGCAAGCTCCAAAAGCAATTTGTGCCGATGGGTTTGGGAGACTTATTTTCACTAAGCGGTAATAAAGGTTCAGCACTTACAGTAGACTATTTTCTTTGTTACAGCAAAAGTGGTCCAAATTAGAAATGCACCTTTATTGCATTCAAAGAGCTGAGTTGTCCAAGTGCTGTCCACCTCGTAATTGAAATCCACGAATCGCATTAAACTTGCCTTTCACACGGAGTTACAAGCAGACACAGGATTAAGCTATGTGTATGGGTAAGCTTCAACTACCGTTCTCACCTCCTATAAAACTACGATATTTCGATGCAGATTTTCAAATGATTCCTATAATCTACAACTACCTAATTGCTCTTTCACAGTAATAAAACTGACTGCGAAAGTAAACACAGCACCTGAATAGACTATAAGCTGGAATGCATTCTCAAGTTAGTAATGGTTCGACACTGTGTTCTGCCTGAGAGACCAATACGCCCGCTAGACTGCATGGCCCTCCCACCATGCTTTGGCCTCTCGTCCCCTCTGAATGTGAATACTCAAGCTTTCTCAGTACTGGTATGACGCCGAGGATGATTTGCGATGCTGCGGTTAAATTTTAGAACAAGGGGTTTCAAATTTCGCTCTACATAGGCAGCAACATAAACGGTGCTTCGGCCTATAACAAGCTCAGTCGATGGTTAAAAATACATTCGGAATACTTTACCTCTTACCTCATGCATTTAAGTCTAGTGGAGTTTACTTATTGATGTGTCAGAATCTTATTCAATTACCCTTTTTCAGATGGCATGACCTAATAATAAAAAGAAAATTTAAATCAGTGTGTCCTTTGGATTCTATTCCTGCTTGCCTTATACCTGGGTTGAATAAAATTGCAAGTATTCTGAAGTGTCGGAATGGAAAATCGCTTTATTTTTGGAACCGCTGAATGTTGATACAGATCATGAGAACAATTTACTTTGCAATCTTATGTAATACGATAGTGGCTTATCCCTCGGTTCTGGTGAGGCGTCACTTTTGGACTTTGAATTAGCCCCCTTGTACCTCGCTGGGTGGGCAGGCCTTTTGGGCCATGCCAACAGCCCAGACACCTCCGTGCTGAATACATATATTCTGCCCGAGTATTGTGTCTTCTTTTGCCTTCAGGGAGTCTCGGGACGCTGCACTTAGGTGTAAATAGCAATCTTCCTTTCCGAATTTGGCTCTGAAAATATTTTGCGAAAATAAAAATTGTGGCCTTGAGGCCAAGCATACATTTTCCTTTTATTTCATCTGAACCTGCATTATATGATTTATCATTTTTAGCAAATTATTTTATTGCTTCAAGTGCTGCTGATAATAAGTATTGTGACATTTTATTGGGCCTGATTTGACCTTGGCGTAACAGTTGGTCATGCAGTCTGTCATTGGTGCTGTCCTCCTCACTACTTGTAGATCCGCCTGCGTGTTAAGAATGCCTGTTCCTCCTAATGGTTTCTCCTGGGTTTCTGACACTGTTGCAGGACTTGCATTTCCTAGTTCCGAAGAAAACTTGGATTATCTTGTCAATCAAGCGCATATTTTAAACTTAATTACATTGAATGACGAAAAACCCAGGCATCTGGAAAAATTCCCCAGTAATATAGGCCGTGTAATTCATCTTAATTACTTGAGTCCCATTACATCTATAAAACTTTCTTACTTTGATTTAATTGAGAGAAAAGTTTCAAGCTAAGTGGTGTATGTGTCTTATTTTTCCATTACTCCTTTCTAGCCCTCAAGCATTACTTTTACCCAGTCGAAGAATTCATACTGGGTGATCTTGAAATGGTCCGTGAAATAGTTGGCATCATCGCGTCTGCCGAAACTAGGGGAGAAGTGGGTTTCTTCACTACATATTGCAAGTACCAGTCGTGTACTTTGGCATATTCTAAGTACTTTTCCCATTGCAGAGGAGTGGAGTTCACTGTCAATTTGGTCAAATGCGCACCGGCACCATTTTGGCTGCGTACCTTGCATACCATGACAAAGTCGATGGCAAGGAAGCTATTAGACGCCTCTGTAAAATGCGACCAAGGTCTGTATTCTCATTTGAAAGTGAGCAAGTGATCTGCGAGTACGCTAAATCCTTGAGAAATTCCTAAAATTGTTCCCCTTTCCCCCATCTGTCATTGCTTCCATTACCTGACTTAGTTTTTTACCATTCTTTGGAGAAGGCAGTAAAAGTGCCGCGTTGTGGGCCTGTCTTCCCCGACAGCAGCAACTTGCATTTTTGGTGTCTGTTCCGCATTGAAGCTGTTACAGTAAAAGATGAATAACTGGGTGGGAAATCTTTTTCGGTCTTTCAGCGGATATTCCCTAACTTTCACTTTATTTTCGTTAAATGTGGTTTACAGTGCGAACGAATCAAAGCCTTCAAACCTTTGTGAAGATTTGAAGCTTGGAGTGTGAGCTGACGCAAGCTAACTGGTCTTTGCGGATGGCACTTATTCGTGGCTGTGATTTCAGGCAGTGGCTTCTGTTTATTCTGTTTCTCTTCATGAATGGTTGTAGGTATGTGCTTCAAGTGGCCATGTAGTCTGCACTCCCTTGTGTCTCCTCGTTGGCTCTCCGACGATGTGGTGGCTGAGATGTGGACAAATGATCCAGAATTCCTCTCCATTCAAAAAGAAGAAGATTTAATCTTTTCAGATTTTTTTCACCTCGCAACGCAGCTGGCTGAGCACCTACGCCCTCTGTCTCCGACTCTGGTGGGAATTTTGTGGTCTCCCAGTTTATATACTCTTGTGGCAGTTCACGGGATCCTCCTCTCATCCTCAGCCTTTCTGCCTCTTTCTGATCGCAACTGTTCGTCCGAAATGCTTAAACTGTTCGGTGCGATAGTCTGCCTCTCTACCAAGTCGAACGTTCCAGATGATTATTTTAAATGCATTCAGACATCTCCCTTCAAAGTTTTCACCCGAAGTGATGGGATTCTCCAGCGTTTGCCTCCCAGTGATCTGGCCTACTGCATAACGACATCGGGATCGACTGGCTCACCAAAGCTGGTTCTCACGGGTCACTCGTGTGCGTCAGCCAATGTTGTAGAGCTGTGCACCCGTCTTCCGCTTGCAGCAAACACCTCGGGAGTCTTTATTACCGCACCACTCACCTTCGACGCGTGTATTATTCAATTCTATCTCGGACTGGCTACCCACCGACGTGCCGTTCTCCCCTCTGCTTCTCTCCTTTTCGGCATGGAGGGCAAACTTTTGGCACAAGTGATCTCATCGGCCAACATAGACACCTGGCAGTGCACTCCTAGTGTCTTTGGTCGTCTGCCATCATCACCAGCAGGACTCAAACATCTGTGGATTTTCCTGGGTGGTGAGCCTTGCTCTCCAGCACGACTACCAAGGTGGGCGAAGGACTGGAAATTCTTCTTCCTTTATGGATTGACTGAGGTCTCTGCCTGGAGCAGTATCGTCGACGCCAATATGCTTGTGTCGGAAGAGCCTCCAAGAGTGGGTGCAACACCTCTCGGGGTTGCAATGGCCCATTCACAGATCGTCCTCAAGGACATTGATAAGAAGACAGGCATTGGTCAAGTGTACACTGCACGCGAGGGAGGTGGCTATGCAACGATCGAGGAACCATTTACGACCGTCAGATTGTCCGCAGCACTGCAACAAATGCCAAATGCAGGTCTTGTGGCAACTGGTGACTTTGCGACGACATCTCCAGCTAGTCAGTCGCCGTTGTGGTTTCTCGGGCGAAAGGACCGGGTGGTCAAAGTGCATGGAAGGAAGTGTCATTTGGAGAGCTTGGAGACCGAAATACTGGAACTGCTAACCAGTCGTGTAAATGGGAGTCGTCATCACGTGATCAACTGTCGTTGTGAAGTTCATCCACTTAGAGCCCATGTTCAGCTGGATGGAGACCTTTCTCCTAAGGAGGCTGATGACATAAGACAGTGGTTGCTGCAGCGGCTAACCTTCCCAATTTCATCGTGTAACTTGATTCTCTCAAATTCTCTCCTTAGTCTGAACGCTAATGGCAAGGTGGTTGACAAATCTGTGCGACTTGCTTGCCTCTCTTCAATTGGACCTGTGGATGAGAATAATGAGCAGCACTATCGGCTCACTTTTCAACAGCTCGGCGGATCCTCCTTGAAAGCAATGCATCTCGTTGAAAGCCTCACGAGTGATTGGCCGTCCTTGAAAGTAAAGAAAGCGCTACTTCTAAGCACTCTCTTCAGTAGACCCTTTGCAGAATTTATTCAAGCAGCACAGGAGTCTGCCTTAACAGATGTAGAGGGTGCCGGAGAGCTGCTCGTATCTGGTGCAGATACGCGAAAAAAAACACGGTCAGATTGTAAAGTTGATATAGTGTGGAGTGCGGTGCTGGGAAAGTGTGTGGATGCCTCGCCTGTAGTGGACGCCGCAATGGAGAGTGTGTTTATTGGAAGTCACGCAGGCGTTTTTAAGAGGTTGTGCCTTAGAACCGGGGAAGTCATTTGGTCCCACGTAGTCGGAAGTCGTATTGAGGCCACGGCGTGTCTGATAGATGATCTAGTCGTATTCGGTACCCTCGATGGTAATTTGCACGCGCTGAGAGCGGCAGATGGCGTGTTGGCGTGGACGGTGGAGATGGGTGGAGCAGTGAAGTCGTCACCAACTCTAGTGCCTAACTCCCATCGAATGCTCGCCGGCTCGCATGGGCGGCGCGTCCTCGCAATCGACGGTAGAGGCCACACAGTGTGGATGGCAAACCTCGATCGATCGCCCATCGTGGCTCCCATCACCGTGGATGGGAAATCAGAATTCGCTTTTGTCGGAACTCTTGGTGGTGGTCTGCACCGAATCAACGTCAGACTAGGCATGTTGCATAGTTCCTCATTAATTTAGCGCTAACAGTTCGGCTACCATTTAATTACTTCTAAAATAATGATCATATCTGAGAGGATTTTGTGGGTTTGCTAGTTTCCCTTGATATCTTTTAGGATTTGGAGGATCAATTTGTTCATTTTATTAGTTTTTCCTTAATAAACCCACCGTAAAACGTATGCGTGCGTAGTAAATGTAAGAGCTGAATTAACAGCTACAACCATCGCTTTCAAATCGTAGGTACCACTGACTGGTCAGTGAGCGAGCTAGGGCCGATATTCGGTTCTCCAACCCTTTTGAGCGGTCTTGGACGAGTCGTCGTGACCACAGCAGACGGAGGAGTGTACTGCTTATCAGAGTCTAGAGGAGAGCGAATATGGATGACCACTGTCATACCAAAGGGAGGTTTCTTCTCGCCTCCTGTTCCCTTACCCCACTACCCCCCAATCCTGCTCTTGGCCAACCAATCTGGCCACTTGCACGCTCTCGCGTCCACCGACGGGAGCGTGGCATGGAGCGTCGACTGCGGTGGCGTGGAACGAGCTGCTGGAGCGCATACCGCCTTCCTCACCACACCCCGTGTGGCCCTACCAAAGCAGCCGAAACAACCCCCACTGGTGGTATTTGCTCGGACAGACGGGTGCTTGTTCGTCTGCATGGGCCACGCCACAACCCCGCCCATCCCACACGTCGTCCACAAACTCCCCTCGGAGACTTTCTCAGTTCCCCTTCCCCTTTACCTCGAACCCAGCCTGCTCTCTATCTTGATTGGATGTAGGGACAACACTGTGACCCGACTAGATATTAACCTCAAGGATATATTTGAAGTGGCTTAGCAGTATGCCTCGATTCCTGTATACAAACGAAGCTCTATGGAGTGGCATCACTATATTTTACTTGTTTACACCTGTCGAAAGCCTGCTTTACTACAAAGAGGTTGACTGCACACATATCTGTGTCGCATGGCGCGCTCACTGGTGCTAATGAATCATCTCCTATGCACACACAAAAATGCTTGCTGGTGTCACTTACTAAATTTATGCGCCACAATGCAAATGCTAAACGCTTCAGGACGTTCAAATCTCACCAAACTTACTTCCTTACAGAGACATAACCATGAGTAAATGTGGCACTTTGTGGGATTGGAAGAGCAACTGAAACAACTTATTAAGACTGAAATATTACGACAAATTCCTTTCCAAAATAGGGGTAGAGTAAAAAACAGACACTGAAAAGTGATTACATGGCTTATAACCAAGTGAATTCGTGGTCGTACAGTGGGGGAAGAGGGAGTCGTACGAAGTTCAAAGTGAATCAAGCTCGAAGCCAACGCATTTGTACATAAAAGATAGAGCAGATGGATGGAGTGAAGACGCCTTATTTAGGAATAGCTCTGAGGCAGTGAGTGTACCAAAGAATGGTAGAGAGAAGGACGAGAGAACCAGCCTGATGCATAGCGCCCAGCCACACAGGCACGTACTGCAAGAGTGCGACGATACCAATGGTCGATTGGCCAAGGGTAGCGGCCAGCATGAAATGCGCCGCATTGCGCAACTGCTGCCCGGTCACTACTCCCCCGCCGGGTACCCGCAGTGTCATCGCCCACGCGCCTGTTACCAGTGCAACCGTGAGGTAGGCGAGGCTGCGGTGCATAAACTGCACGGCAGTGGGATTTTCCACCAAGTTCCGCAGGGTCGAGCCGTACCGAGCCACTACCAGGTCATCTGGCACCCAACGGTCTGCCATCTTCGGCCACGAGTTGTACGTCAGTCCCGCGTCCAGCCCCGCTACGAACGCGCCTTCATACATGCGTGCACATACAAGAATACCAGCTCATTCCAAGGGCATATCACACAAAACTTCAAAGCACCCTAAAATGCGACAAGGTGTTCCCACGAGATACGCTACTCTCAAAGTGAAATTTCCGCAACTTGGCTAAAAGTAATCCAGTTTGTGAAGAACATGCCTAGTCACAAACGCTAATCATGCAAAAAGTGGGACCAGCTAACACAAAGACCTAGCCTTATATGCAGTCGAAAACATGATTTCAAACCATCTACCTTGTAGGCTAGACTCTTAAGGATGCCGCCATTGATGTTTAACAGACCAATATAGTCCATGTAATGAGCTGATTAGAAGTGTTGCTGTGTGGACACAGAGGTTAACCACATAGCACGCCACTAAATCAATATGAAAAGTTGTGGGGGCACTAACCGAGAATTAATAATGCATTGACTTTTTAAAAAAATGCTGAGAAATATTGTTACCGAATATCAGAGCCGTGAACATCATCGCCTTGGAAGAATGGCCCCATATCTTCAGCTTAGTGACTTCGGGGAACCTTTTTATCTGCATTGAAAGCACACAGTGAAAGAGCAAGTGTAGAAAAAGTAAGTAAATAAACGTACCATCGGATGCTTGCACAAATGGCTGAACCCTGACCACAGAAAAAGAGAGTAGAGAATTGCTGCAGTTGATAGATGAGCCGCAAGACGATAGTGGCTCACTCGAGGAACTCCAACGAATTCTTCCCTGGGATCCATGCCAACTGGACGCGGTGGAGTTTTTAGTCCACTTCTCACCATAAACCACCCCAGTAGTCCCTAAGCGTAAAGTGACAGTCACCAATCATAGAGCTCAAGGAGTTAAGCATCGACCTGTTTACCTGAAACCCGATGAGTACACCATAGCAAACAACTCTTATTTTCATCACTTTGTTGAAGTAGCCCTTGTACCAGAAGAGGGCAGCCGGTATTGCGTAGGCGACCCCAATTAGACGACCCCATTGCCTATGACACCATTCCATGTACCAAATGAACTTGAATCTTGAAAGGGTCATTTGACCATGGTCTCTCACGACGCTAGGAGAGGAGTGATAGAAAAAACAACTCGATTACTGTTCATATTCTGGGAATTGTTTGTATTTTTCGAATTCCTTCTTCCAAGCTTCCTCAGTACGAGGAGGTACCTCCTTGAATGGATGCCAATCCACCATTGATAGACCCGACTCAGTGAGTCTAAAAATGTGCAAATCTCACTTAGCCTACCTGGTGAGCCCACCAATTACAATAGCCCCAAACGTTAGTCCAGCCATACCCATGAGCCAGTATCCCACCGATTTCCTAGCACCATCGGAGAGACCTCTTATGATGGGGTCAATACGGGTATTAAGAGAACGTTCAGGCATACGCCACAAGGAGTGATTTTGGGGCCTTATTTTACATGGTATAATTGATGTCCTTAAAGATCTACACACACTTTGCGAAAAAAAGGACAACATGACTTCACAACGAAAAGGTCCCCAAGGTCATGCGAGGATCAATTTCAATATTTTCTGGATCACTTTAATAAATATTGAAATGCAGCTTGAATTCTAAAGTTTGCATGCCTTCAAACTCAACTTATGTGAAATAGTGAATAGCATTAGGATGAATTTGTTCAAGTGTTGCAGGTTAGAGCCCGATTAGGATAATTCCTAGGAAAAAGCCCAAAAAAGAGACTTTTAAAATTGTTGAGCAATAAGAAAAAGACTTTTGTTCCATCTTAAAATGTTTTATCATGTTAAATATGGGGCTTGGGCTCTCGTAGACATGCACTGTCGGTTCTGTTAGTAGTCATATTTTTCATGCAAGGGTTAATGTCATAAAATCCTTTCGCCCACGAAATGAAAGACGAGACTGTTAAAACGATATTTTGACAAATGCTCTAGGCGACTTGAAAATGAATACATTTTCTCTTGAATTCCTAGCCTCTTTTCCGATTGGCTGATTACCTAATCTTACTTTACTTATTTGAAGTTTTGAATCATTGAAATGGACAATTAACTATTTTGTAGTGCATCAAGACTTCTGTGAAGACGTAATAAGGCATAATACTCGGGTAAGATGCGTGTATTTGACATAGAAAAGGTATTGGAGCTACCGACATGGCACGGAGGCCAGCCCATCCAGTGAGGTACAACGGCCAGGTCAAAGTGGCTCTTTACCAAAACCGACCTTCAAACAAACAATGATCGTATTACAGTTTTTCTTAACTTCAACCATTCATTTCACTTTACAAAAATCCTACATCTGATTAGTAAAACTTGCAATGAATCACTCTCTTATATAAGGCATTCAAGAGATTATTGTTGTGTCCCGAGTCTTGGCCAAAGTCGCAATAAGTCGAATTGGCATTCAAAAATATGCACGAATAGAGCACATAAACGCTGAAGGGGTACTAGAAAGGACGGAATGTCATATTGCAGAGAGAACCTACAGCCCGCAGACATTCAAATACCCACATAGTCAAAAAGTGGCAAATCTCTTCAGTGATACAAGTTTGTCCAACGACAACACCTAGACAGCGAGTAACTGGGTTTGCTGAACTTGGTGATTCAAACTAGGCTGTCTTTGCCCCAAGAGAATGCTGATTCTGCATTCCTCATAAGCCTATACCACCTCTACAGATCTTGCTTCAAATGTCGCACTATGCCATCTGCTTCCCGACCACAATGGGTTTGAAACTGCGAGTGCACGGAACAAACGACATAAGCTCTACATGATATCAACGTTCTTGTGTTTTGTAAGTAATCGCGTGCTGAGGCACTGTTTGTTTTATTAGACTATAACAAGGGAAATACAACACCTGGTTCAGTGGCATAAAACGATGCTTGGTTTTAAGTCTCAACCAAGTTAGGCTCTTTGCTTGCTGGTTCAATACGACATTCAACGTCAGCAACCGATCAAGCATGTTCCAAATTAAACAAGTGCTTAAAGCTATGCAGTGACTCAACATGAGCAGCACCATAAACGGTACTTCGGCCCATAATATGCTTTGCATTACTAGGGCCATTGCCTAAATACTTCCTTAGTTTCTAGCAATGGTTTTTGAATTCATCGAAATTCCTAAGCTAAAATTTTTTGTTCAATCACGTTATAATAACACAAAATATTGTGCCTTTAACCTCGTCAGAATTTTATGAGTTTCTTTTGATCAAAAATGTATTTGGTTATTGCGTTTGCTCAATGGGCTTTGATATGATTTGTACAATCCATTTTTCTGGCATTCATTGCTAATATTCATAAATCGTTAGGGATTGAGTACTGACGAATTTACGCTCCACTATTGTGTTATCTGTCATTGAAGTATTTATTTTGTCTGTTTATTTGTTCCGACTTTTAATGTTTATGCTTAGTGCAGCTGGATGGTGTTCTCGTAAGCATGCGCGAATCCTCTCTCCACGTATGGTCACGCGGCGCAATACAAGCTTTGTAGCACCCTATAGGCTCGTACTACCTTTGTGTCAAGTATTTTAAGGTTTTCACTTACAAATGGATTGGTTTTTTCTTCAGTTCCTTTTTTCGGAATGTCCGTTTTAGTAACACCGAAAAGAAGAGTTTAACAGCAGAGTCTTAATATGCTTATTTCCACCTAGCAAGTCTGTCAAAACTATTTCTTTGCCTCAGCTGCAACTTTTTCGTGCGATTCTAGAGTATTGTAAAATGTAGTGTCCATTTGAATTTTGTATTAAATATTAGGAAAATTCTGTGAACTGGTTTTCTAATGATATCAAGGGAAGGTTTTTCAAATGCAATATTACCATCTCCATTCCATTAAGGTGACGCTCTGGGCTTCTTATTCTTATTTTTAATATGATGATTTAAACTAATTTTATCACTCCAAATTAGTTTTGGTTTGTCTTTAACTTTCTTAGGCGACTTGAGTGAAGAGCTTGAGGTTTGGATAACTACCTTGTCTACCGAAGGTTGGGCATGCTGAACTTAGGGACCCTATAGTATTAAATTTAATACTTTGATAAATATCATGAAATATGGTGATTTTTGTCATTAGTAAATTTACTTAGTGGTGTATCAGTCTACTCCAATTTCTTTTTGAAGCGTTTAACTTCGATTAAGCACAGTAGCACAAATAGTGTCTTGGGGTAGTCGGTATCATTTTGTAATTTTTTTTAAAAGATAAATTAGCATACTATTGGCTATCCTTCGCCAAATGTAACTCATAATCTCTACATGAAAACAGGTCGTAATTACTTCCGAATTTAAGCATTAAAAACAATCATTTATCTTTTCCTCACTATTTTCTTCCACTAAAATCACATTTCTTTGAGAAATCCATTTGGAAATACAAAGCATTTTTTACTCCACTTAGTAAACGGGAAATTTTCATACGGTAAATTAATTAGCTCTGTAAAATGGGTCTGTATATTTGGATTTTGGTTTCTTGATGTACCCATTTATTTGGCAAAAACAATTTTTTAATTTTCTCATTATTAAGCAAAACATGTTCATAATTTAGATACTTACCCGATCTTACTACAGAAAACTGTGGGGCTATTCACCGTATCACTAATCGCCCATGTGTGGTGAGCCCCATTGGTAAGTACATCTACTTCGCTGTATAAATTATCCTTTCGTCCTAAATACGAAATTAACATACTATTTTACTAAAAAACCAGATTGCTAGATATAATTTTAGTGGAGAAATCTTAGATTTATAAGCATTAATCATCATCTATTAAGACAGGTACCTGGAATGGTAAGGAGTTGTATTTGTACTCCCAGATACACAGGTCTAACCAACGATGCGGATACACATTACACATTACTTTTAAGCTCATTGAAAGCAACATAGTCTAAGAAAAATTGAGAAGTAGCTGCTCATCATGGAGTGCAAACAAAAGTTGTGTAGTAGACAAGCCCGCTATCCACGTGGTAGTGGACGGTGCGTGGAGAGACTGCGCCCTAATGAAAAGTTTAAGCTGCCTTGCACTGTTGGGGGACTTAATCCATCGTGACTGTTGGCGTGGTAAAATTCCTTTTCTTGTACGTTTAAGACAGAGGTATCAGTGCCCAAATTTTGCACATGGGTGCAAATTGTCATGGTGTAGTACTTGTCGGTGGTCGACTATTTGAAGCGATTAAGTTCGTTGCATGCGACCAAGCTTCCGTAATTATAGTCGATGCTGGCATTGCCAAGTCGTCACATAAGTGTTAATTTGGGTCTTTTCAAGTCCATATCTTGAGTCCTGCGAACGTATTTTTACCAATGCTGTGCAAAGTTCTACAAATATTAGTAGTTCTTCTATTTTTAAAACTAGTTATAGTGTGCTGTCACTTTACTGAAATTTTGTCTTAAAATTGTCTTTTTACGAAGAGCATAGGCTCTTTAATCGGATCAACGGGTGTAGTCGAAATGTGAGGCACAATCGTAGGTGCCTGTTATTCTGCCCTTAAGAATGTGTGCGACGCAATCATGAATTTACTATACCCGAAAGAGGACTACCAGCCTCTCTGTGACTTCTTATTTGAATATTTAGTTGGAAAATTTGGTCCATCTAAAAAAAATCATCATGGGTTTCATCCCTAGTGAAGCTCGACTCCTTTATCCCTTGATTTTTCGGTTAAGACTATGAAATAATTGTGGTGTATCGGTTTGCCCTTCATCGTGGCTTTGAGTTTATCAAAAGACCTTAAGAATATTATGGTTTAAGTAGGCATAGAAAAACGTTAATCTACTAATGAGAAATCCGCTGTGATCAATAAATAATCCTTATTGGGGTGCAATAGGTAAATTAATTTTAATAGTTTTAATTCACCTTTAATGTTTGTACTGAATACATTATGCAGAATGGCTTCTTGATTCAACAAAACTCTGAGTTTTTTAACTTGGACTCTATTGTTTAAGTTGATTGACCAAAAAGTCTAGTCGACTATCCCTTACAAAAAATATCCGAAGTGTGAAATTGGAAATTATTCGCATTTTTAAATTAGTTGGGCTATTTTATGAAGAGTGGACTCTGAAACTTAACAATTTTTCAGGTTTTTTACCATTACTTTTCCATAAAGAGCAATGCAGTGTTTTTAATTTGTGGAAAATACCCATGCATCTAATCCCCTAATAATGTACCCCTAAGTGCTAAGGACCGTATAAACTGTTCACGCAATTATGCGATCATCCGTCATCTAGGTGCTTTATAGGCCAATTTAAATAGGCCATCGATGATACCATAGTGATAAATGAGGGATCAGACATTGAACAAGTCACGAATAGTCACCTATAGTGCTCCATCTCACTATTATCAGTGCTGTCGACCTAACCAGCCTCGGATCGGAGAGTACGCAAGATTTTTAGCTAATCGTGGACTGTAGACACAAGCGAGATTGAAATCTGAGCTCTACGTGGTCG